AAAGCTTAATTAGGCAAAATGTAGGAACATTTCTATATGTTTGTTTTTTCGGCCTTAAATGAAGCATTGGCTTTAGGACCATTCCTATAGCATGTTTCGATCTTCTATTTTCTTATTGCTTTCTTTGGCTAAGCAGCCACTTATTGTTTATTGGAAACACAGCCCCTTTGTTTAGCCGTACGGTTTTGTGAGTTTTCCGCTATCGCGAGGAAAACAGCACAGGGTAAGGATTTATTGTTAATTTAGCTTCGTTGGAAACCAACTGCGTTCGTAAGTTGTATTTTTGCTGGTTCTATATTGACCGTTTATTGATATCTTTACTTGACTTTAATTTGAGTGTCAAAAGATTGACGGATTCTCAGGTCAGTGATTCATATTATTGTGCATAAAGAGCAATGAAGTTGTATTGTATTCTTTTAAGGTGTTGAAGCAAGTGAGACTGAGCCTAGTATTTACAAGTTAATTCAGGTATAAGTGAGAAGGTTAAATAGAGAACCTTCCCATCCAGTGCAATCAGTTGTAGCTAATTTTTTCTCAACATAAAAATCAGAACGTTAAGATGTGTAAAATCAGTTTTTTGCTAAACAAATACCCTTAAAAATTTTGGTTGATTAAAAAACAAAGAGAAAATTTCAAAAAAAAATTATGAATTCTGACATTGTTTTTAAATTATTTTGGCAGAAATTCGCCAGAAAAACTCCACTACAATAAGTAGTAAAAGGAAGAGTAAGAAAAGTGGTAAGGTTCTAGATGCTTTCAGATTACCTCAAGAAAAATTTCACCTTTTTATTTGGAATTTTTATTTCTGATTAATTCTGAAGCAGTTCACCGTTATTTGAATTGTGTAATGCGTTTAAAGCAAAACAATTAATGATAGAAATTTGGGGGATGTCTGCTTCTCACTAAAAAGAAGCTTTTTTTGAAACGTTTCAGAAACTGTTCGCTCCAAAAAATGCGTTGTCAAAAGATATGCAATTTTTTATTTGACGGTAAAAAGTTGTTTAATGATAACAGTCCAAAAATATTAATTTGTCACAAAAACGACAGCATTTAAAAAGAAAAAGACTCACAGCGTTTTTGGAAACCTTCTAAAATAAAAGAAATGAGATATTCTCAAAAAAATTTTAAAAAACCTCATACCAAAATTATCAAAAAATTGCCACCAAAAAATAAATTTTCTGGTAAAATCTGCTAACCATTTTACTTCATATGGAGACAACAAATTTGTACTTTACAGCATTCCGGCTCAGTTGTCGGTTTGCTTTCAAAAACAGAATCAAAACAGTAAGAAAAATTTTTTGTTTTTAAGGAAAAGCCAATTTTCCGACTGAAAAAGTTTGGAAATTTCAAAAAATTTTACCCCGTCATTCGTTTTCACATCAACTTTGGCCCCTTTGCTGAGCAGAAACTTCACAATTTCTGTATGGTCATTTTGGGCTGCGAAATGCAAAGGTGTCCACTAAAGTGAGAGGAATAAACGTTGTAACTGAAGTGAAAAGTTTCCAAAGTCTTTCAAAACTTTCCTTCGCAAAAGAAAAATAATTGCAAAACATACTTTGATTAATTCAGAAATAGTTTACCGTCGATGAAAAAGAATGACGTATAAAGAATAAAAACATTGAAGGCAGTAATAAATGTTAAAAAAAATTTTTTTTTCATAAAGCACTGGAATTCCCGTAAAATTTTTAAAAAAAGCTTCAAAACTTCCAATGAAGGTTCATAATTGCGGTAATAATTTTTCTGAGATTATAAAAAGTGTGAAAAAATGAAGAAAAATTGCGGTTCTTTTTTCACTGTAAATTTTTTTCATTTTTTAAATTTTTTCATATTCCGCAAATAAATAGAAAAAAAATGAAAACGTTAAGTACTCTTACGATTAGTTTTTATACTAAATGGATATCTTTAAAAACTTTACTTGACAAAAAAAGAGTAAAAATTGAAAAGAAATTATGAATTCTGACCTTGTTTTTAAATTAATTTGGTAAAACTTTACCCCGTTTTCTTCCGCTGCATTAAAATCGCTTCCTTTTTCTACCAGAAACTTTACAGTTTCGATGAATCCTTTGACAGACGGCCAAATTAGTGGAGTTTGCTAAAATAGGGAGGTATGTCAAAAAAGCAGTGAGGAGAAGAGGAAAAAAGAACACTGAGAAATTTCTAATAACTTCTCTACGTTTGTTACCTGCTTCTTTCATTTATTTATGTTTAATTTTCGAAAGCAAACAGATTTGTAGAACAAAGAAAATGTTCTTTTTTTTTTCCTTCCGACTTTCTACCGACAAATAAAAGGATATGAAGAAAAAGCGTGAATTTAAATTCGTAGAAAAAGTTTACAAAAAAAAATTTGAAAAAGAAAAGTTTATTAACAAAAAAACAAGATTTGAAAATTGTATACAGCTTTCATATCGTATTGCAAAAATTTTATTAACCAAAAAAACCTGTATTTCAAAACAAAATTTGTTCAGATGAATTCAACAAAGCATTACCCCCCACTTATCCTTTGCGTTTAAATCGGCCCCTTTATCCAACAAAGACTTTACTGTTTCGAGGTGGCCTCCATGAGCTGCTAAGCGCAGTGGTGTGCACTAAATTG